TAAAATTAATAAAAAAAAATGACGTTTATTACTTTTTAATTACAATAATTATTCAGTGTGAAAGTTGTAAAAACAATTTTTCTTTGTTTAAGCAAAGAAAAACATTACACTTCTCCTATTTTATGAAGCTTTTTGAACCACACAGCGATATTTGCATCTTTGCCGTTCAGTACACCATAATGGAAGATGACTATATCCATCTGTTCGTACCCAGTCTTTTCTTGTTTTGTAAATGTTTCATAGCTCGACACGGACGACTCCTTTTTGTAGTAAAACCAGCTTTATTAACTTAAACATAAACACATAGGCATAAACAATCTGCTACTGGCATTTTGAAATTCGCCAGAGCTAAATTATTATATAGACGTTTTCATCTTTCTTGGCGTGTGCGTGTAAAAACACTTGCAATAAGTTGTTTCATCTGTCTTTCCTTGTCTAAGCTCGATTCGTTTACCTCCTCCAGTGGCAGCTATCTGTATTCGTAAAGAGGCCGAACTTATCACCGACACCGTATCGGCCAAACGCATCGGTGTTATTGCTACAATACTGGGAGACGTGAGTGGTCTCTTCATTCCTTTCTCATCGCACTTTACCATGACGAACGTGACTCGCACAATTGAATTACGCATCTGTGTATCAGAGAGAGACGAATATTAAAACTTCCGTAGTAGCTTATTTCAGGCACACGCCAAGAACGATGAAACCGAGTTTACTCATTTCTTGTCATTTCTTCTCCAAAGAATCCACATATTGACAGTCATCAAATCAATAATATGGAAGAATATAAGCATGTACCATTTTTTTCGATCTGAGTTTGATCCTATAATATCCCAACATCGAATCCAGGAGATCTACTCCCCCCATATACTTGTAGATTGTTACAGTTTTTTGACATTATATGTGTCTTATCCTTTTTCGAAAATCGTTTAACGTCAACTGTTGCCATACTCCCAGCATTTTGATAAAATGTTTGTAGGTAATGGATTTTGACATGAGCTATGACCTTGTAAATAACAGGTAAACTTGTATACTGCATCGGCATGACTCATAGCTCTTGTCAAAATCCATTACCTCTACTAATTTGTTGTCATACCATGTAACAACACATATTTTAGTACGATCAATTGTGGCGACTTTCTCTACCATAGCTCTTTGTCTGTTCTTGTTTAATTCAGTCTCTTTTGGCATATTGCTGTTTGGCACTCTGTTTATTCTAACTGTTCCTAGTGGTAACATACCCTGTTTCGTTAGATAAATTTGCAATGGGACGCTCTTGAACCAATTATCAAAGAATATTTTGTAATTTATAAGTCTTGGTACTGTTTGTGTTGGCCAAAGAACCACATTTGAACTTATCCCTAAATCAGGAAAACCATCATGCACAACATTAGTTTGGCTTTCTACAAAAATTTCATAATCGTAGGAAAATCCGCTGACATCACTAAGAACAAACGCCTCATATCCCCATTTGTGGGGTTTTTGCGGATTATATTGTTTTATACATGAACGCGCCTTTGATGGAATTATCTGCTCATCTATGGCTAATAATTCCTCTTTCGGAATTATACTCTGTAAAATACTCTGTCTTTGACTTATTCATATTGAGGCCCCATTTTTCATATTATTGTCTAATTCTATCTTCTTCATCATCTCTTATTTTAAAACACTCTTTCTTTGACTTATTCATATTGAGGCCCCATTTTCATATTCTTTCTTTAGATTTCTAAACATGTCTTCCTAATCATTCGCTACGACTACCTGATCATCTGCGAAAAATAAAGTGGTTAGACATTTACCACCGTCTATGTCTATTCCCATTTCGGATACGTGTTTCCTCCACTTCTCTAGGTATGATTGAATATATATTTTAAATAAGGTCGTAGATAGACAACATCCTTGTTCAAGCCCCTTTGTTATTGGAAATTATTCAGATATAAATTTTCCTTCTTTAACGACACTTCTTGCATGTTTGTATTTATTTGCGATAGCATCCACATACTCTTTACTGAGACCTACTCAATGTTTGAAACAGTTTTTTCAAAGGTACTGTATCGTATTCCTTCTCTAAATCTACAAACAATAGATGTGTAGATAGATTCCTTGCCTTCCGTTTTTCGATTACCTGCTGCAGAACGAATATACCATCAGTGCATGATCTTTCTGCACGAAATCCATTTTGTTCGTCTATGTCTTCGTATTCTGATTCTATTCTTTCTTTTATTATTCGACCGTACAACCTCCCCACTGAGCTGATAACAGTTATTCACCTATAATTAGAGCATTTGCGTTTATCCCCTTTCTTGAATATTGAGCTGATGTATCCGACATTCCAATCATCAGGGATATTTTGTTCTTTTAAACATTTGTTAAATAGTTGAACCAACATATCATGTAATATTTTTGGTCCATGCTTTACCAACGCAATTTTGATGTCTCCAGGTCCTGCTAGTTTACCGTTTTTCAATCTTTTGAGGGCATCGCTTAACTCTCCGGTTGTTATTTCAATTATTTGTGTATGTGATATTTCTTCCATTTCGATCTCTTGGAATTTACATCTATCCTCTAAGACCTCATAATGGTGTTTCCATTGTTTCAGATCTATTAACTGTAAGTTAGATTTTTTCCTTTCCTTCCCTCCGGAGAGACTTTTACACCTTCCACTCTTGCCCATCTCTTGTTCCACCTATATACCTATCCACCTCTGCACATCTTCGATCCCACATCTCATTTTTACTTTTCACTACTTCTCTGTTTTTACATCGCGATTTAATTTTTATATATCTTGTAATCTTCCTCCTTTCTCGTTGGTATCCATTTCTAATAAGCAGTTTTCTTTTTGTTTACTAACCTTTGCATATTCTCCTACCACCATTTTTGATTTTTTGTTTCATGTTTGTCTTTATACAAACATATATAAATGTTTCATTTTTTAGGTTGCTAATATAATTCTTCCGCTGATATACTTTCTCGATCCACATTTTGTTATTTTGTGGCCAGCCGTAATTTGTAAAGAAATTTCGTCAAATCTTCTTTTAAGCTTTCTAGGTTATATTTAGGGGATGTTACTTTCTGTCCCTTAACTATATTCTGTACCTGAGTGTTATTGTTTTTGCGATAGTTAACTATCATGTTGGCCATAAATAAACTATGGTCGGATCCACATTCTGATCCACGGTATATCCTTACGTCAGTTGTTTTCAGCTGGGAAGTTTGACGTTCGATTACATAGTCGATTATCGAGTGCAGATTCCTAGAAGGTTGTATCCATGTAAATTTGGGGATGTCTCTATGTTGAAAAAATCCATTCATAATTTTGAGAGACTTGTTTCAAAAAAATTTCTAAGACGCATTCCGTTGTCATTGGCTATTAACAACATTGCATTGACAGTGACATTGTAATGGCACGCAGTTGCCCTTCTTTATTCTTTTTAGCTTCTTAACATTCAGTGCCTTATTCATAGTTCGTCTTGTGGAACCTTAATTTGTCTCTAGTTTCATTGGAATGTTTCTGTTACACAACATACCACCCCCTCTTGTCACTCGTCTCTCTCAACCACTGCATGAATCTTTATATATTTCCCGATTGCTCTGTAATACTGATCCCACATACTAAAACTATGACTATGACTAAAACATGATAACAAAGTTATCATCTTATTTTCAGCAGTAACTCCATCTTTTAATGAACATTCTGAATACTCAACACAACATTATCAGCATTCATTAAGCAACAAAGTTAGAGTTTCTCTGTTTCCTTGAAGTGATTATGTCTGATCAACAGCAGTTGACCACTTATTACTTGTGCTATAGGTTCCATAGAGTTGTAAATACTAGCCATAGTCACTATGTTATTATCTTCCTATCTTACAAAAATATACTTTGAGCTTTGTCATATCGATGTTCAAAATAACCGCGGCCTTGTTTTTTCAATTGTGAATCATTTGATAGGGGACATAATTTTTTGGTCTATGGTTTCTTACAGCTCCAGTAAGCTTTAATTCTTATTCTTTTTATTTTCTCCAACAGATCATAACTTTTAAAAAAAGTTATCAAAAAATAATGTGTGGTCTAATGGGCAAGCGATGTGGTTTACCATATCCAGAACTACTTGTGATCCCAATGGTAGGCTACGTTTCTTATCAATATTTTTGACTCCACAATAAGTATCTTTGGCATAACAATAACCATTGGCACTCCATAACAGCCAATTTTTGTCGCCGAATCTAACAGGTTTACTTTTTATAAATTGCTTACTGACATGTTTCCCAAAAAATTTAAACATAGACTTATCAACACATAAATGTTCATAAAAAATACCACACTGTCTGTAATTCTGATTTAGCCGTGTTAGCAGAGATCGAACTTTTGCTATTTTATCATATGCTTGTAATGCTGTATTGTCGGCAAGTCGATGTCAAGAAAATAAAAAACGCATATGTTGACTTACATAAACTTACATAAACAATAATTTAAAACTAACAAACCAGCTGTAGTTTGTATTCATTTTTCTGCAATTTCTAATAATTGCAACTATTTTATTGTAGATGGCACTAGTATGTCAAAATAGCAGCTGTACTTAAATTAGTACATTGGGTGCTAATGGGTTAAGTGCCCACTACATAACCTTCATATGTCCCATGTCTTACACTTTCTCAAGATCAATGAATACAACAAAAAAGATCATTGTTGTTCTTCTGAAAAAATATCCAGTGTTTGAGTTTTGTTTGGTATTTTCTTATATAGAATATACCATGGGTGTAATTATGCAAAGAACAACATACTTTAGTATTATGGGAATTAAATGCAATATAATATAACATTTTATACTTTAAATTTTGAAACATTTACAAGGTATCCAATTTAGAAAACTAATCAAATGACACTTATACACATATATCCCTTATGTTAAAAAGACCGAATTGTTTTAGGTTGTTTAAACATGTTTAATAAATATAAATCTTATGTAATTTCCTAATTTTACTAATTATTACGTTTTGCAGTGAGGCTTTACAGTTTGTTAAAGCAAAAAGAGCTACCATAGACCCAAATGAAGGCTTTAGAGCTCAATTGATAGAATATGAGCCCATTTACAAGGCCCGCCAGATTCTTGCGAATGGAGAGGCTTCCCAGGACTGTAGGTCCAAAAGAAAATGTGAACAGCTGACTGAAACTGTAGATTATAATCTTATACAAAGGCCCCCCACTCCAGATTCAGACAATAATAGTGAAATAAGTGTTAGAGTTTATGAAGACATCTCAGATCACCTTTATAGGCTTCTAAGAAGCAGCTAAGATGTTTTAAAGTATTTTTCTGTGTTAAGAAGACTTAATAACGCATTTTTCTATTGAGATGTAAAACAATATTGCTAAGATTTTGTTAGTTTGATTTAAAATTTTATTTTTCATTTTATTTTTTTTTGAACAAAATGACCAATGTGGTTGAGGTATGTTTTACATCTTAAATAGTTTAAATTTAAAGGTTGTTTCAAATAAAATATGCATAGAGCTATGCTAATTTTTTAAGTATAATTGCTTTTTAAGCAATGTAGTTAAAATCAGGTATAAAAAAATCAACAGAGGTTTGCATCATATGTTTTGTAATGATACATTTAATATCTGGAACACCTGTGGGCTATTTCCATTTCCTCTGGTGATCTATACAAGTTTTTGATGTTACTGTCAATAGTATCTCCAAAAACAAAATAATGGTTTTTCCAAATGTCTGATGTGGATCAGCAGAAATCACAGTGTTCTGATATCTGACAATTATCATAATTTTAGAAAATTCGTAGTTACATAATATATTGTTTCCCATCAGGTACTTTGATTGTTAGTCTTTATCTCTCTTAGTGTTGAGTTTTTGGGTTATCTTAAGCAACTGCCAACTTGCATTACTAAATAAACTTATCAAGCAAGAATAATTTTAATAATATAAACCTGAGATAAGAGTAACTAAGTCGTGATTAGCATTTTCACAAATCACAAAAGATCATTTGTGTAGCCTGTGTACTATTAAATTGGACGATTGTTTATGCCAGAAACTAGTGTTTTTTGGACAATTTGGTTTGCAGACCTATTTTAGATTTTATAATGCTTCGTTTGAAACATTTCTTTCTGTATTATGGCTCAAACCGTGAACCTACTAAACTTCTCGTATTTAGTTTGCCACATGGCTTAGCGATGGAGCTGACATTTTATTACCCATATGTGTATTACAAGAGTTATTTTCTTCTTACTGATAATTTTGACTATTTCATTTTTTTAATTGAATTTTTGTAAAAATAAAAATGAGTTGAGTAATAAAGTAAATTATATATATGGCATGATAATATATTGTTTGAAACAACCAGTGTAAGTACTCAATTGAATATAGATTTTAGTATTACTATGGACTACTAAAGACTTTACTTATATTATTTTAAATGGGTACTTTTATAAATACAAGATGACAAGTATAAAGTTAATTACATTCTTATAAAATTAAAGAATTGAGTTCTCTTAGTTCTTACTTAAAAATCTCAAAAGCACAAGTTTCGACAATGGACCTTTTATAGGAGAGAATATACTTCCCAGAAAAGGAGGATACATATATATACTACATTAGAAGTAATTTCATTCATGGTTTTTATTTTGATAAACAAAATAATAATTGAAATAAATTCAGATGATACTCACAATTGAAAATCTAGTTACCAAGTAAGAGTAGTATTGTAAGTTTTAATTATTATATATTTTTTGGAACTTACAACTCGGAAGTCGTATTCAAAATACAAATTAAAAATCATATGTCACATTATAATTTTACTTTGTCACAATTATTTAAATTAAATTTACAATACAAAAAAGACAAAATGCATGGTTACAACATCAAATTTACTAAGATGTAAATTGGAGCTGGAAGGTCAGATAATAGAACAAGTGATAGAGTTAAAATATCTAGGCACCACATTATCTAGCTACGGAAAGCTCGAAACCGAAGTGGAAGATTAAGTGAACAGAGCAGTCAGAGACGCAGGCTGCCCAAATAAAGAGTTCCTCCTAAAGTTATCTTCCGGAAACAGTTCATGTATTGGTTGTATCTGAAAAGTGATACCCATTTCTTTTGAGAACTCGCTGGACAGTTCGAGAATTCTCGTAAACTTCCCTAGCAATTTGTACACTAGCTTCCACAAAAGAACAAATATCAATATCCCTGTATCTTCATCGACAGGTTTAACACATGGTTCATTACCTTCATGACACTTTTTACAACTGTTTACACATCCCGAAGTTTGAAAATGTTTAATGGTATTTTTAACTGTTGTAAAACTTGGTGGGGGTCTGTAAATAAATCAATTACTAAGCGTATCGAATGACCCTGAAAGTACCATTTTACAAGTTGCACTTTTTCTTGGACATTATACAACGTAATAGGCATTTTATTAATTATTTGTTTATTCTTTCAGAACTTCGTTTGAAATTTTTAATGTCAGTGTGACAATTACGACAATTCGTACCTACTGCGAAATTAATATAGAGGTTGAAATGTGTAACATGTCACAACGATTGCCATTGTGTTGTATGGTCAATAAAGAATGTTGTGATCTGTATAATGGTATATTTATGTAAAATAATAGAAAATTAAATATTTTTACTAATGGAAGAGATAAAAACAGACACACCAGTATCTTTTCTTTACAATTTGCTGTATTTAATATCTTTTCTTGGATTGTTTAGGCACTTCGCTATCAACATTCTAAATTTCCAAAAAATAAACAATGACTATTACGAATCTATAACGATACGTTTCCACAGGTGATTGGGTTCCGACATTGAATTTTTAGAACTTTGATTATTCGCCTTATATACATCGATTTAGGTAGGTATATAAATATTAATATAAAGAAACGAAACGAAAAAGACAGGATTGGGTGACAGAGGAAATCTTAATCCTCATGGATATGCAAAGAAAATATAAAACTAACACCAAAAAATATAAAGAAATCTAAAATAAAATTAGGCATAAAATACGAAATGCAAAAGAAAATTGGGTCTAGAAATAGCAAAAGCGGAAATTCAATATGCTTTGGAAAATATGAAAAACGGAAGAGTGTCCGAACCAGATATTTTTCCAATATATATTATAAAATTAGTAGACAAGAAATATCTACACACTGAAAGACTTCTTCAATAGCACATATAGAATGGCATAATAACTCAAGAGTGGCTCGCATCTAGATTATTTATAACCATCCCAACGATACCAAACACCAGTCACTGCAACGAATACCGCACTATCCGTTTAATGAGCCATATGTTAAAGCGGTTTCTGAAAATCATACACAACAGACTATATGTCAAACTCAAAGAAAATATCGAAGACACCCGTTTGTTGTTGTTGACAAACAAATAGTAACATTAATACTACTAACAACGAAGTCCGTACTGCGTTAATTAAAATGAAAAACGGGTGATCTCCAGGACTGGCCATGATATGTTTTATGATATTTAGTCCATGATATGTTTTATTAGCGATATGTATTCTTCTCTTAACTTCTTCACTGAATTTACAATAAATATAATAATTAAAATCAGCTCATAGTAAAACATATATACTAGAGATTAGATACAGCTGCACCACTTAAAAAGCTGATGAGATAAACTAGAACTAAGTTTAATAAAAATATAATAATACCAAATTGTTCTGACATTAATATGCTCGATTGTATTTTTTAGCACATTGTCAGTTATAGATATATTTTTGTCCTTTAAAATTTACAATATATTTTTATATGAGGTCCATTGTTTATTGTGTAAAATGTTGTTAAGAAATATGTGTAATATATACTATAGATTTTTATGTATTTGTCTATATTTTTGTGCCAGTAGCTTTGATATTATTTTTTAATATCTGTTTTTATAACATGTTATGGTATCACTACTACATTCTTTAATTTCCAGGTTAAAGTCGAGATGCATAAAGGGAAGTTTGTCACAGATATCTAAACTTGAGTTAAAAGACGAAATAAACATATTTCTCCGCCCTAACATCACATGCACTTCAAACGTGGCATGCTTTACTGTCAAACTGATTTTATGATACAAAATACATCGTGTAACAAATCGGCAGACAATACATTAACCACCATTCTCAGACCAAAAAAAATTGAAATAAGAAAAATAGATTTTTTCTAACATCTCACGAATTTTTGGATTTTGTAATGAAAATGAATTGTTGAGTTTCTTATAATCTTATATACTTAGTAATTGTATGTGAAGAATAGTGCTGCACTATTTCCTGACATTTCAAAGTTACCAGTAATTATCTGGTACCTCAATTAAACCTGACCCAACTTTCCCAGAATTGCAGTTATCTGCAATTTCTAAAAACTTTTTATATACAATTGTAATGGAAAATTTCCATAATAATCTCAAATGCACAATCACTGGAATCTTTAGTATACATGATTTACGAAATTGTTAATGCCACTGTTTAATAGTATTCTTGTCAATAACAGAATTTTTGAAGTGAATGAAAATAAGGCCGTATTTCGATAAAAACTGGTCTTCAAAAATGGACCGATGTTTTATTTTTATTTAAAAGATACTCTTGTTAAAGCTACATATTCATTTTCATTACAAATGTCAAACAGTTGGCACTTAACATTGGCATGTGGCCTAATTTATGATCTACCTTTTTGTTATACCTTGTATATCAACTCATCTTTTGACGCAGTAAGTTGGGTGGCTTAATCTTTGCACGGGTTTGTTTACATTCGTATATTCTTGTTGGATTTTTATTCTTGTAAGTTTTATTTGAAATATTTATATATTGTAACATGCTTGTTTATCGTTTATGAAGATGTTTATGTTATATGAAAAATTAAGTTTGAGATTTATTGAAAGTTAATAATTTTTCTCTTTAAAATTTGTGACTGACTATTAATACAAAATTTTACATTTTTATACTCTACTTTGTAATCTACCAGTGAAGCAGTTATTTGGTCTCTGTCAAATACATTTTTATAATCTGCAAACGTTGGAATTAAGATTTCTTTTTTAAATTGTTGTTTAAAAACAATAAATCATTTTTCTACCTAAACTATTATTAATTATTAGGTAATTTACCACATCACTAAATAAGTCCAGGACTTGGCATATGTATGGCGCATCTAGGTTGGAAAATATCAACTTTTAGATTCTGCTGTAAAAATATGAGCTCAATCTTTTACCATCAGTTTACAAGTCATAGCGAGTAAAGCGATATGTGAAGTTAATGTGTTGAATTGTTGATAAAGCAATGTTTCCTGATGGCAAAAAACTGTATAAGCGAAGCTATGACTTGAACTATTAGTCGAACACTGTGGTCGGCCAAATTTG